GTATGTTCCCAATGGTTAAAAGCTCCTTGCATGAGAATCATAGATGCACTTGATAAGGCATAAAAGCTTTCTGTTAGCTAATGTTGACTAAAGTTTGTCTCCTTAAACAAACATCCACCCCAAGTCTATAATACACCCTTGAATGAAGCAACCCATGACTCTTGGCAAGGATCATTCGATCAAGTTAGGTCGACTATCTCCTTTGGCTAAGTAGACTATGGACAATGACGGCCCGGGACGACGGAACCATGGGATCTTGATTGAGTTCATCATCATCCCCCCACCATATGCTTAAAATATAAAAATAATAAATTGTATAATTCTAAAAAAATTCACATGATGCTACTATATGCTAGTTATTTCATAACTGCTTAATGTCTAGCCTTAATTGAAAGTGTTCTCTCATCATTGGAAGGGGTAATTAACCATAGGTGCTTGCACTTATGGGAAACCTAGAATCAGATTATAAAGTCCTCACAAAATGAGGCTGAAATTTCTAAGTAATTTGACCCGGAATAATGTTAAAACTCTCCTAAAAGAGGGGAAGTCAAGGCGCGACTTTTCAGAGCCCACATTTCTCACTTCAAAGGTCTGACCATATTTACATAGTGATACACATACTCTCCAAGGACATCCTTAATGAGAGCAGGTTGCTATAACTCTAGTCTTATTACTAGCCTTGATCTTGATCTCAAAGTTATTAGTAATAATAGTGGATCATATAAACTACTTAAAACTGACCGCATCATTAAAGTAGGAACCAACTTCTAATCCTTTATCATCAACAACTTGAGTTATAAGATGATTACTATTTAATCTTTGAAAATCAATGTTATTTGAAGCAACGTTAATAGCTCTATTGACGCTATATATTACTCCAAACATTTTAAGCTCATATCAATCTATTTGTCATCTTGTAATATAACCATAACTTCAACCCGCATACTTTCATTACACTATTCTATCATTTGTATCACCTCAACATCATTCCATATAATCTTTTAAACTTTGGGAGAAGTAGCACATATATGATAGTGTAACTTGAATTCATGGCCAATAAGCCATGGATAAATCTTTTCAACTTTTTCTCCGAGGACAAATAGTTAGTTAAATCCTTCTCAACTTTAAACTTTTTTTTGTTTCCCACCTTCATATCTTATTCTTTGTTAACTTTTAACTTCACTCCAATATCCCCTAAATATAAATGTAAAACATAGCTATTCACTCTCATTCACCCTAATATTCATTTAAGTTTACTCTAATTTAGTTAAAATATGCAAAAATAAGGTAGAGGACCAATAAAAAGCTTTATATGAGTAGCTCATCAAAAGCACAAAAAAAATTTAGGGCATGAGTAATACCAACAGAACTTTACGAGTTTCATGAGAGCAAGAGCTTCCGCTCCAGGTGATGATGAAGGAGCAACATGAGAATAAAATTTAGGGCATGAGAAATAGGGTTAGGCGGGAGTTCTCATGTATTAGAAGAATGACAAGTAGCAGAAGAATGACAAGTAGATCAGGAGCTTTCACGTGCACCTCACAGAAACAGAACAGAGGTAAAAATGAGTGATCAACGAAGTAATAGGTGTTGTATGTGTATTTTAAGAGTTTTAGGTGTTAGGTATGTAAATAGACAACTTTTAAGTGTTATGTATGTAAATTCCCCAAATAAAAAATCTAATTATACATATATAAGGATAAATATTATTGAATCTAAATTTGTCTTAACACTTTAACTTTATAAGCATATAGACCTAAAGAGATTCTAAATGCTCATTTTTACCTTTAATTTATAAGGATTTTAGGGCAATAAGAAAAGGCTATACTCCTAAATAATAATGAAAAATACAATTATAGACATACAACTTTAGACATGTTGCTTTTTTATGACTAGGGTATGTTTGGGATGGTTATAATGTTTTAAAAAGTTGGTAGTGTATAAATACTTTGGCTGACGGGACAGGCTTATGTGAACAGAGTCGAACATTTCCGCCTCCTGTATGCATTGAACGCACTCCCGAGCATTTGTGAGCTGTTTAGGAAGGATTTTTGAGCAAGTTAGGAGGAAATTTGAATATAGGGACTATTTAGGGATTTTATTTTGATTTTTATGCATTAAATAGTTTATTTTTCAAGGGTTAGGGCATCTTGAATTTGGCTGAATTTTGAGATCTCGTAGGTTTAGATTTCTTTTGGGCTCTAGCGGCATCTAGAGATTTGAGAGAGATTGATCCTCCTCTCGAATTGAGGATCAATTGTATGTTGCTATTTTCATCTATTTCATCAAATCATACATATTATATACTATTTTCAACGTTTTGTGTGGATTTTTGTAGAGAATTCTCGTTATTTTCTAAAGATTGATATGAAATACTTGAGATCTACAAGTGTTTTTTCTTATCAAATTGGCATCAAAGCAATTTATTTACAAGAAATTGAAGTCTCCTCACTAATTTCTGTTGTGTTTCACTCATCGAAATGTTGTTTAAAGGCTAGAAACTATTTTGTTTTTGGCCATTTTTGTTATTTAAAGCCTAGATTCGGGTACCAATAGCATGGGAAAAGGTATAATTGGTGGAATGGGAGATCATACATTTGAAAACTAAAATTTCATCTCTCCAAACTCAACTTTCAGATGTCAAAAGTCAAATTTCAACCATCCACCAGAAGATGGATGGAAAATTTTCCATCCTTGGAGAGATGATGAAGAAGTTGTTCAGGGTCAATCCAAAATGGCATTGTCAGAGGCGAGGGAAGCCTCCGACAACCCATGAAATGGGGAAAACTCTTATTCAATAAGGCAAAGGGAAGATCAGGAGGTGGAGACTCAAAAGGGAAAAGAGAGAATGCCTCCCATGGAGCCTGTTCCAATGGGGGAGCCAGGTAGGGAGTATGGGGAGAAGCGTGAGGAGGTGGAGCAAGAATGAAGATGCGATGATTCGGAGAGGAGAGGGAAGAAATTCGAAAGGGAAAAAGATAATTATGACTAAAGAGGGACTACATCTGAAATGGGAGGGGTTTGTTATAATACAAGGGGTGCTGATTTTGAAAGGAGAAAGCGAGAATTTGATGAAGGCCTGAGTATGAATGTAGAATGGATGATTGGGACACTTGGGGGGAACCACCCTCTTGAGGAAGAAGAAATTATGAAGGAAACATAGGAAACATAAGCGATATGAGGGTAAGGAAGCTGAAGATGCCTATTTTTGAAGGAGAGGATGCCTATGGGTGGATATATAAGATGGAAATGTACTTTAACATCAACAGATTGACAGAGGGAGAGAGTGATGATAGCTGGGATGTGCTTGCAAGGGACAGCTTTAGCATGGTACCAATGGAGGGATACGATGCGATCAATAAGTACCTGGAGGAAGTTTAAGGATTACCTGTTGGAACATTTCCAAACAAGCAGGGGAGGGGACTTCTATGGGCAGTTCTTCGCTTTGATGCATGAGGGGACAATGATGGAGTAGCGTGAGCAATTTGAGTGCCTTGCTAGTCGATTGGATCAGCTTCCATAGATTGCATTAGAGGGAAACTTTATGAAGGAACTGAAACCAAAGATCAACGCAACAGTTAGATATTGATGAGACCTCGGGACTTGGGAGAGTCCATGGAGTTAGCACAGTTGGTGGAGGATCAGAGGTGCCTAGAAAAAGAAGCAGGAAGCAGTGGTTCAGGAGGCTCGTACAGGATGACCACCACCTTTTTGGCAAGTAAGTAACGAACACAGGTACTCTTAGAGAGAATTCATAGGAGAAGACTACCGGAGGAAGACTTGGGGACAACTTCAAGAAGCTCACAGAAACATAAATATAAGAGAAGAGGGCTAAGTGGATCTATTTTAGATGTGACGAGAGGTATATGTCAGGGCATAGGTGTAATGACTGAACTCTTTAGGTTCTTACTGTTTGTGATAAAGAAGAAATGGAGGGGGTGTCGTCTGTCCACCATGTAGATAAGGTGGATCTTTAGGAGGGGAGTATTGTTAGACCGGTCCAACCGATCTGAAGGGATCAGTTTATGCAAACAGAGGTGGACACTTTCGCCTCTTGTACACACTGAACGCACGCCTACGCGGGCGTGAGCTGTTTAGGAAGATTTTTTAGGGAGGGAAATTTTAATGTATGGACTATTTAGGGATTTTCTTTTGATTTACATGCATTAAATAGTTTGTTTTCCTAGGGTTAGGCCATCTTGAATTTGGTGGAAATTTGAGATCTCTTAGGTTTAGGTTTCTTTTAGGCTGTAGCGACGTCTAGAGATTTAGGAGTGAAAGATCCTTCTCTCGAATAGAGGATAAATTTTATCTTATATATTTTTTTCGTTCTATTTGATTCTTGGAATGAAATTATTATTATTTTTTGTTTTCATTAAAGTTAGGAAGAGTTTCTTGTTTTTTTTTTTCGAAATTGATAGGATTTACTTGAAATCTTCAAATGTTTCCTATCACTATCTCAAATAGATCCTAAGTGGAGTGTGTTGCTTGAGCCCATTTGGTATTATTGAGTGAGAATGGAGTGAGTCCGCTAGTTAGCTCCAAGTAGAGGAGCCTTATGGATGGTGACTGCTCTACAGTCATTAGCAACTTGTCTTTGGGGCCTAGGATCTCCTATGAGAGGAAGATGAGCAAGTTATTGCTATGGGGAAGGCAAGCTCCATAGCCTAAATGTGTTGGGAAACAACATGAGCACCCTTATGGTAGATGCTTTCTTATTATTAAAGAGACAAATATATGTGGTGGGGTTGTCTACCCCTATTTTTTTAGAGGGGCTGGTCTCTGAGCGAGCTTATTTATAGAACAAGTAGGAAGCGAGTTCCATTGTTGTCAATTGCTAACTACCATGACAAGTCATATGGAGTGTACAAATATAATATTTAAGTAATTTATATTATACTATTTTAAAATATATTCAATAATTTATTTTTTTTTTCTGAAAAATAAAAACAGTTCACCGCCAATCGCACAATCAAAAAACGAAACGCAAAAGTTCTCCCGCCAAGTCCTTACCCGCCATCTGAAACCAAAACCGGCTGTTGCCGGTAATCTCAACACCATTTCCTTGCTCCTTGCGGTCTCATCCTCCGGGTGGAAGACCTTCATTCTTTACCTCCTTTCCCCTCTCCGATCTTAGGAAGGGCAGCATAACTGCAAATCCGAAATCCAAGCAGCCGACTCATTCTCATGAACCAGTTTTCCTCTTCTTCTCTAAACTCTAGCTAAACGTTTCATCATCTAGGGTTTTGCCCAATCTAGGGTTTTGGCCATGAGCGCCGTGAACATAACCAACGTGGCTGTTCTCGACAATCCGGCGGCATTTCTCAAACCTTTTCAGTTCGAGATCTCCTATGAATGCCTCGTACCTCTCACGGATGGTGCGAATCTCTTCCATTTTGGTTTTCGTTGCTTGTTTTCTGCGTGTTTAGCCGACAACTAATAACCGGAAGGGTGGGTGTTTGGCATCTGATATTGGTTTTGTTGAGTGTATAGGAATCTTATGAATGTTCTATGTTGTATTCCATTTGGTTGTGTAAATTGCTGATCGGGTTGGTTTTAATTTTTTGTTAGTTTATTTGACCCGTTAGTGAAGTTTCTAGATTGAGGAGGTGATAGCATGAGTTGGTGAATCTAATCTGTATTCAACTAGATATGAGATGAAAACCTTAATAACTAGTTTAATTGTTTAATTTCTTAATAATTGTCCTTGGGCACTTTGTTCACTTTATCTATTTTGCAAGGTTTTTTGTACTTGAAATACAATGAAATTTTAAATTTAGCATCTTGCTTAAAAATTGTTTGATCTTGCTTAAAATTGTTTGATTTATTGATTATCATGTTATACTTTCTAAATGTTTTTGTCATCCATTTTAATTTGTATATTTTTAAATTTAGTAGATAGGTAACCATAATCTGTAACATAAATTGTTACTTCAAATCGTTGGAATTTATCTTGCAACTAAATTCCATTTAGATTTGGATTGCTGGCTCTTATTCATCCTAATCATCTCAATCAGAGTTTGTCATATTCTGACCTTTTTTAACAGACATAAGTTTTTCCCTAGCCTGTGGAAATTAGAGGATATGCCATATGCGTCATGATAGTGAAGCAGTTAAAATAAAGTGGAAGTGCAGAAATCAGTTGAGTGATTGGAGGAATCGTATCATGACCAAACGGCAAAATTGCAATGAGTAGTGCTAGTCATGATGAATACTTTATGAGGTTTAGATCTCTGTATTCAAGATAACGTGATTTTGGAATGTGATGATGCTTGGAATCACATGCTTGCGATGCCATATTGATTAAAAATAGAATTGGTTCTTTGGAAGTTCTCAGGTTCTGGAATTAATGAGGGATCTCAACCATGGCTTTAGCACAGTTCTGGATTAGGCATTTTTTGCTTAAGAGAAGAGTTGGTCAATTAATGTTTAGTTGGAAAAAGCGTTCAGTAGTTCCTGGTCAAGGAACATTTTTTTCAAGTAACAATTGATATATAATATCCTATATTTGTAGCCTTTTTATATACTTCTTTTAGAGCTTGTAAAGTTATTTCTCCCTCATGCATAGCAATAGCCTGTAGAGTCTCTCCATTTTGAAAAGCTTGCTAGAATCATCACCACTTCAAGCAAAGCTCAAGCCACCCTTGCTGCATGCCCTAGCTTCCTCACCGAAGACCTACGGTCCTACACCCACTGACCTCCACTGATGAATACGATCATCCTTAGGGAACATTCCTTCTTTACTTGGACACAAAATACTGACCAACAACCAACAGCCTTTCTCACAATTGTTGCCTTTGCCGGTCGATTCTGCTGGCCACCCAAACTATCCAAGTGATACTGCCACAAGTAGAGAGGGAATGAAAATCCTATGAGAAGACTTCTTTACAAGGATCTAAGAGATTCATCTTTATATTATATTAGGCAGTGACAGGATGAAGATATATGAGGAAAATTTCTTGATTAAATCTAAAGATTCCAAATTTGATCACATATAAGGGGAAATAATTATGTATAATCTTTAGGGAAAATAATTTGGAGATTGAGGAAATTCAGCTGCAGAGATATTAATAATGTTTTCTAACTTAGTGATATTGGCGATTGAGTATTTTGGATGGAAGTTATCTCCTTTTATCTGCTTGAGTCCATGATTATTTTTTAATTATCTCTTTTCTTTGTTCAATTTTTGTTCTATTTTAGTGCTTTGTTTGCTTGTGTGACTTTTTGTTATTAAGTTTGGTATAATTTCACTTTTTTTATTGCGGTGTAAGTTTATAATCGATTGTGTGAATATGTAATCTTGAATTTCTATGTAATATTTTTATTAGAAGATTGTTAAATTATCATTTGCGCATGTTGTATGTATGTATGTATGATTTTCATTTAAAGAGTTGATTACTCATTGAAACTAATGGTTTGTGAAAGTCAAATTTAACTTCTGTTCATTAAATTGTGCATCTCATCCCAGCTTGCATTTGACAATCCTTTTTATAAAAGGTCATGCTTCAAGGTTTATGCCTTAGAAAATGTGACAACTTGAAGATATGCTTAGAGGTCCATTGCAAGTGATTTTTTTTTTCTTTGCATAAGGGGAAAAATGTGTTTATAAGATGATTTTTCATGACTTCTTGGCATTTTAATTTACATATCTATGACAATGATGCCAATGGATCTATGAAGCTTTCCTTCTTAGGGATGCATGTCGAGCCTTATCCAACTATGAGGAGCTCATAAATACTGAAGCAATCACAAATGTTATGAATGCAAACCTTTTTGCATCTCTAGATAATGGTCTTGTATGAATATTGTGCATTTTAAATATCTCAAGTTGTTCTTTTCTATTAAGTTGGTTACTACAAAATTTTTAAGGAGTTATGATTGTGTCATTTGTTGCTCAATTTGTGATTTTTCATTTTTGTTTCTGTTAAGGTGTAATATTCGTGATTTGATGGTTTCCAATTTGTGATATTGATGTAGAACTACGTATGAATGCGATGATTTAGTAAGATCTTGCACAACTTTTGATTAGAAAATAACGAAGAAAACAAGCATTTAAAACATCGGGATAAAACGTAAGAGGGGTCACGCCCGTTTAGGCTAAGTCACATAACCATAGATTTGAAATTTCAAAATAAATTAGAAAACAACATTATGCCGGAGTAGTAGTTTCAATAAAAATCCCTAGTCTAACAGTGAGATTAGCAAGCACATGAATACGCTCAAAACCCTACGTTTACTAAGCTTACCATAAGTAGGCGACGGTCGGCCTTTGTGACTACAATCAATACTACGAGAAAAGTTAGACTCAAGAAATAAGAGAACAGGAAGCGTAGGAAACCTTCGTCAAGGATCGGTGGCGATCCTCCACTCGACAATCTCCAATTGCTCCTCGATGGCTTCCACCAAGGTATCCAAGATCCGCTCGGTATAATCTTCCACCGTGTGGTCGACCCTCGAGTTGACGTCGAAGAAGGTTGAATGTAAGATGCACACAAACCCGTGTTCGTCGTAGGTTAGGCCGTATTCAATTTCCGGATCGGCCATTCATAGATGTTAATGGACGAAGTCTTCCCACAGTTTGCTAGTATCTTTGATTATTGTTAAAGAGAAAGAAGTTTCTTGAGACGTGGTGGTGGTAAACGGAGGCCGGTCAAGGGAGAAGAGGTTTTAAAGGTTTTACTTTGGACTTGAGAGGGAGAATGAATAAAATCTGAAATAATTTCAGATTTTTGGAGAGGCGGGGAATTGGAATTTGAAATAATCCCAAAAGGGAATGAAAGAGGGGAGGGCAGCGGCAAGGGGGGAGGCTAGGGATTTATTTTCCAAATATCAATTTCAGATTTTAGAAAGAAATAAGGAGGTGTGAGGGCCTTGGAAATTTCGGCTAGAGAGGATTGGGGGATTTGAAATTATTTCCTAAGTAGAGAGTTGGGTTTAGGAAATAATTAAGAGGGAATTAATGGGATAGGGGGAAGAGGGCTGGCGGTATCAAGGTTGGGAGGGGATTGGGGACAATTGATTGGGGCTTCCTATTTTGGATTTAGGAATTAGGAAAGACTTATTTTAAATCCATATTGAATTAGAAATTCAATTAGATTTAACTTAAATACTTTCCTAAAATAAAATAGTTAAATTATGAAAGATTTTGAATTCAAATTCAAATGATTTGAATTTCAAAATTATCCTAAATGAATCCTCAACCAAATTAGGAAACTCATGGGAGAAGGCAGAGGGTGGATTTGGCAGCCAAAGGAGCTCGGGCCGGCGGTTAGGGGTAAAACCGTGGGGTGTGGAGATGGGGGAGAGTGGTCCGGTGAGCAAGGAAGCAAGGTTTTGGGATGTAGCCAAGGTGAGAGATTATGTGGTGTTGAGGGAGCATAAGTTGGTCGGCGGCAAGAGTTTGAGATGACCTTGGCCGGCGGCTAGGTGAGGGAAGGAGGGTTTTTGGGGAAGGCAAAATAAGGAACCACGAACTTGGCCGTCTCCAAGATTGGTGGGTGATCCCAGCTCCCTCTCCTAGGGATTCACCAATCAAACTCTCAATCTCTCACAAGAACTGATGCAAGGAAAAAATTTTAATAAATCATTCATTCATTAACTCTCAAAAACAAAGCAAGGGGTTATAAATAGCCTTGTACATGAGACTCAAGAAATAAAAGATAATCATGCCCTTGGGGCTTACATACGACATCCCTTTATTAGAAGGGTACAACGAGAAATAAAATAACATAAAACAAATAAAACGACACATAAATAAGAAAATACATAAAATAAGTCAAAAGTACAAAGACTTAATCGTGGCTGTAGATCGGCGGCCACACCTCTGATAAACTTTCTAAGATCTGATGTCCCCATTAGATATTCTGGTCTACTGTTCTAATTAGGTTGCTAGCAAATTGGAACTTCATAGCAACCAATTGGCACATGGAGAACATAATGGCAATAATTCTTTTTAGATATTCAAACTCATAGCAAAGCTCGAATAGTCTTCCTATCCTCATTTATTCAAGATATTTCTCTTGTTATGGATTTCTCAATATTCTTTCGTGGATTTGCACTTAAGTGCGTTATCTTTATTACTTGATATTTCTCTCTGAATGAGCTTTCAATATTGTTATCCTGGATTTACATTCAAGTGGAACGATGAAATTAAGAAGATTAATCTCTTCCAAATGAAGGGCTTTTATTTCCAATGGCAATTTTATCTAACGCAATGATGTCATATGTTCAAGAAATTATTCAACAACTTTATTTAAATCTTTTACCATACTCTCACCAGGAATATAGTACTTGTATAGTTTGGTCTTTGTGTTTGCCATGATGATGATGCTTTACACGTGTGCTGGTATAAGAAAAAATTCTGCAGCAAGCATTAGACAAACAATGCGTATTAGGAAAAAAAAAGGCTATGGTATAACATTTCTTTTTATTATTCTGTTAAACATGGTTAGTCTGTGATCATGAACTGTACTTTTTGTTGATATACAATATAACATTAATCTATAATGTCTTGTTGTGTGAAAAAATAAATGTCTTACAAACTGTAAATAGGTAAAGTTGAAATTTTTACATTATCTTATTATGTATGATGAATCTTTACAGAGAAATAGTATTTGCAGGATAGAGATTTTACTCATTTTTTTATTTTTTCATTACCCATTATGATAAAAGAACCAAAAACAAAATTAAATAAAAATTAAATAGCTCGTCATTGATCTTATCCTAACTATTTAGGGTTGGTGGCTATGTGAATTCTTATTTTTTAATTCATTCTTACAGAGTTATATAAGTGGTAAACGTATTATATATATATATATATATATATACTGTTGTTCATGTCCAAACCATCAAAATATATTTTTTATCCTTTTATCTTCAATTATGTTACTCCAACTATGTCACTGATATAATTAATCAATGAAATATTTATCATAGTTTTGCAAATATGTTCAACTTAATATTTTCATTTTTACCATGCCTATGTTGTCTATTAGATACTTTTGACTGCCCAACATTTGAATTTATGCAACTAGTTAGATTTATTATAATTTTATAAAATTTTCATTAAATCTCCTTGATATTCCCTTATCACACTTTTTTTAGCCATTTATCCATTTCAATCACCTTAATTCTATATGCCTTTATCTATATCATTTTCCTTACATATGATAGATTCAAAATACTTAAATTTATGCCATCAAGGTATCTATCTTTCAATAATGTTGAATGATAATTATTATTATTGCACCAATTAAATTTACATATCATATACTTAGTCTTTGTTCTATCTATCAATCTTAAGTAATTTATCTTTTCAATATGGTGTTACATTTTTTAACTTTCCATCTATTTAAGTAGATGCGCCACTTACTAGAGTTGTCATTTGCAAAAATCATACATCAAGTCATCTCACTTTAATAAGCAACTTATAAAACAATATTAAAGGATACAAACCTAATGTTAATTGTTGAAGTAATTTTGATATAGTTAGAAATTGTTTAGTATGTAATATTACTTATAACACTGGTTGATACTCTATCCTACCTATCTTTAATACCTTAAACATACTTTCAATACTTTTTTTTCTTAATCATGGCACTCGATTATAAGTCGTATTAAGATGAATCGAAATCCGATGAAGATTCTCCTCTGTATGCTTTTCCTTAGTGTTTTGGCACAAAAATCATCATCTCTTCACTAATCATATTCACTAAACTAGTTTAACATTTAATTCCCTATATATTACTATCATTGTCCTTTTTGTATTATTTATCTCTCCAACATAAAATAATTATGACCTTCCTTTTTTAATTTTTTTTTACGTCCTTCCTAATTTGTTTTCACATTTTCATTTAATTTTTTTTAGACAAGCAATAGAAATTCTTTTTCTAATCATTGTACCCACCTATTCTATAATCTTTCCATTAAAAATGATTAAATTGTATGCAGAAAATATAATCATAATGTTGTTAAAAAAGACAATGAACCACTCCATTGAGTGGATCATAATGTTGGCCTACAGAAAAAGAATAGAATGTGAGTTTAATGTAGAACTAACAAAATTAACTATAAGCTTGAAATGTTGTAAAGCTGAGTCTATCCCTCTTCTATGAAATATTGTCATGCCTTCTTGTGCAATTAAAGATGGTACTTCAAGGCTCGTTCGTCCCAGAAAGGCTCTATTTTCCATTTTTTTAATCTTATAAGAATTGTCTTTATTTGATTTGAGATACTTAATAAGAATTGCAACGTGAACCAGTACGGGTGTGCCTATCCTTCCTTTTATGTGTTTTTTGCACTGCTAGTTCTGAACTCTACCTTGAGTTTTTCACATATATTATATTGTGCCAAAAATTAGATCTTAAAAAAACCGGCAGACCTGATTGTACTTAACAAAATTATTTAAGTCGTTGGGTTACCTGTTGGCTATGTTTTACAATCCCATCTCATTTTCTCACAGATCTAGAATGGAAACTTATATATGTCGGATCTGCTGAAGATGAGACATATGACCAACTCCTAGAAAGCGTTCTTGTTGGTCCTCTTAATGTGGGCAACTATCGATTCGTCTTACAGGCAAATACTTTCTAAATTTTGATCTATAAGGTTTGTTTGGGGCAATTTTTCTCTTTTGAAAAAATTAGATATCAACTTTCTTGCTTTTGGGTTATAAAAAGTTATTTCTCATCATAAAAGTTTTTAAAAACAACAAACATTGAAAAAGCTACCCCAAACTGACCCTTCATCATTATAAGAAGCTAACATTGTCATTTTGCACTCAGGCAGATCCACCGGACCCAGCAAAGATCCGTGAAGAAGACATTCTTGGTGTGACTGTACTGCTTCTAACTTGCTCTTATGTTGGCCAGGAATTCATAAGAGTGGGATACTATGTAAACAATGATTATGAAGATGATCAACTAAGGGAAGAACCTCCCACTCGAGTCTCCATAGATAGAGTTCAAAGGAATATATTAGCAGACAAACCTCGTGTTACAAAGTTCCCTATAAATTTTCATCCTGAAAGCAGCCAGAATGGCGACCAGTCTGCCGATCCTTCTTCACCTGAAGCCAACGTTGTACAAGATAATGAACCCGAACAGAAACCTGCATGACGCTTGATGCTGTTTAAACGAACTGTTTTGTGTGGTGAGAGGGTTCTTATGGTTAAGCTCATAATGTTTTTTGTATAGATTCAAAGTCTTTCTTCAAGAAATTATTATATGCGGAATCCGAATATTATCTAGACTCCAATAGAAAAGGGCCACACTGTACACAGTCTATATATTAATACATATTGTGTATAAAATTGTACATAGTGTCTATTGAAGACCTGGACTATGCATGTAATAATCTCTTTTCTTTTGCAACTTCAAAAGCTGTGAAAATTCTCTAGGAGCATTTTGTCTGAGCGATGAGTCCTGTTTCACAGGAAAACATTTGCCTGTTAATTGCCAGATCTGTTGCCAGGACGGAAGATTTATATATATACTTATTTGATTATTCAGGCCATAGAACTTGTTTTGTTCGTTATTGATCAGTAAATGATTTGCCATATTTATTGCATTTCACATTGCCATACTTGTCAATATTTCTCCTTGTACTTTATTATTGAAGCATGAGTTGTACAATTTCTATCAGAAATTTTTGTAGGGAAGCCTAAGCAATTGATGGTGGCTTTGATAGTGCGTCAAATTTGAAAATTAACTAATGTTGGTCTTACCAACAAAATTATACTATTGTGATAGCAAATGGCACCTGCAATCTTATAGGCTTATGCTTCATTTAGGACAGTCTTCCTATTATTTCTTAAAGTAATTTTTTGCATAAATTTTTTAACTTAAAAAATTTTGTACTAGAAAGTTAAATAGTAAAATAGTTATCCCAAGCTTTTATGTGGACAGATTATGTACACATATATATGGCCCTCCAATTATAGAAATCTACCATATCCTGTCTTGGCATTAGCTCATATATGCATGAATACTGTTGTGACTTGGATAATCTTATTATTCAGAATTTCAGATAATATATAAAATATTTAAAGAAAATGTTTATCTCCACAGAAGCTTGACCTTAATAGCTGCAGCATTTTCAATAATATTTGAGAAATGCTATTATTCAGCTTAATACATGTTCATATTCAGTCTGTTCATTAAGCTCATAATGTGACTAATGGCTCTTGCAGATGTTAGTGTTGAGAAATATAACTTAAATAAATTAGAAAAAAGGAATGAACTAATTATGAAAAATTAAGTTAAAAAATAATTTATTAAAAAAAATTATAATTCAGTAGATACTTGAAATTTTTTAGAGAAAAGATTAATACAAAATTAACAATGTTTTCTCAATTGGAATAAAAGCTCATGAATGCACAATAAAATTTACATTGCAATTTGTCTCTCTATTTTAGAAAGAAATAGACACTAATTAAAACCAAAAAAGTGATAGAGAGAAAAATAATTGTCTCAGTATTTATTAAAATTTAATCTGAAATTATGCTCAAATTTTGTAAGTTGACAGACACCCTATAAATCAAAATTAACATTAAAATAATTAGAATGGTGAAATTTTAATAAATTATTTTGAAAATGATAAAACAAATTACAACAATAAATCAAAAAATTGAAAAAAAAAATTCAGCTGAAACTGATTATAAAAAAATAAATAATAAGAAGAAAAATAATTTCTTAGAAATAAATATAATTATGTAGACAATTACAATAAACATTTTAAAGAAAAATTTAGTAAAAAATTAATATTTTACCTTAAAACATTTTAAAAAGTTGAGAATCACTAAGGCTTGGTTTGTTACGGCTTCACGGCTACGTTGCTTTATAAAAAAATGTTAAATGCTCATTTGGGACATTGCGGCAAAACGAAGTTAGAAAAATTTTTGCGGCCTATCGCTACTTCCCGCGACCTTTTGCTGCCTCTCGCGGTCCGCTGCTTCCCGTGGTTTTGAAGAGAAAAAAATGTCGTAAATGCCCCCATTTGTGCGAGACTGCTTCTCCCTCGTCGTCAACGGATCAGTCCAGGCTCTTCACGACAATGAGGGGGACACTGGGGTATCTCGCACCGGAGTGGCTCACCAATTCAGCCATATTTGATAAGACGGATGTGTACAACTTTGGATTGGTGCTTCTGGAGATCATTTGAGGGAGGAGGAATTGGTCGATGGTGGCTGAAGGGTGGTCGATCGAGGGCACCGGCGATGGCGAGATGGGATATTATCCCATGATTGCATTGGAATTGCACTAGAAGGGGAGGTATTTGGAGCTGGCGGATTGGAAGCTGGAGGGGAAGGCGACGGAGGAGGAATTGGGGAGAGTGGTGAGGATTGCGCTGTGCTACTTCCATGAAGAGCCGGCGATGCGGCCGACGATGGACGTAGTAGCGGCGATGCTTGACGGAGCTATTGAGGTTGGGCAGCTGAGGCCGGAGGCGCTTGGAGTTCTACGGGTGTATGGGAGGGGTTTTCTTTGCACCGGCGAGAGTGGGAAGGGGAGCAACAACAATAGCAGCTATGCAGATTTCATAAAAAAATTGATGCACACAAAATCTATTTAAGTATTTTCTTGATATAATTTTTTAAAAAACATATGAAAAAAATTGTTTATAATAGTAAAATTTGAACAAATTATTTTGAAGTATGATAGAAAAATTTAAGTCAAAAATTTATAATATTTTGATATATAAACTTAAAAAAAAATTAAAATAAATATTTGATTTGAATTTAGAATTATTAGTTTGTTATCATGTAAATTTAAAAACATTTATATTTAATAAAAAAATTTCATGCTAATATATAGAAGGGCATCAAGGTAATTTATTGTTATACAACAACAACATAGTAGCTCGGCAGTTATACTAGCCAAACAAAATTTATTGATTTTTGTACAACAACTTTATAAAGTAGCTTTCTGGACAACAACTTCACAACCTGCTTTACCGACAACTGTAGCCGTCCCAAACGAAGCCTAAATCATTAATGACTTTCCAACACTTCAATATGAGAAAATAAGCTAACATCGATTTCTGTGTATAGTAGCAAATGTGAATTCCAATGACAAAACAGTAATAAATATGAGCATGTATAAAACGAAAATTAAATGGGTTTTCTAGTTTCTACAATAAACATAAATTTATTTGAGATTGCTATACTATTTTATAAAATTAATTATGAAATTGTTGTGACAAATATAACTTAACTACTTAATTACAAAAATATTTTTTCAGTATAAATTTTTTTTAAAAAGCAAGTGAAAGAATAAGAAGCTGTTGATATTATCTACCTCATGACATATTCTAAAGATTTTGATGATAACAAATATATGCTTGAATGTTCTAATTTGCATGGTAAGTATTTCAGGTGTAATGATTTGTTGGATGTGCATGATAATTATTTATATGAGATTTATATTGCATAACTCAAGTTCAATAAAAATTTGAGCTGAAAAAACTCAAGATGTACCAAGATGAATAGCTTGAAGATTTTTATATTAACATAGGAGTATATTAGAGGTTCATTATCTATTAAAATGATTCACATATAATTAATTAAAGATAATAAGCTTGATTTAGAAATCTATAAGATCCCTTTACTAAATAAATATTATATGCTTTATAAATTACATAAATGTTATGAAATATAAAAAGATAATTAATCAGAGAAAATTAAATGTAATAAGTTTATGTGGCAAAAACTTAATTATGTATTAATTTTGAATCGAACTCATTTCTCATAAATTTATTGATATATAATTAATTTTATCTAAATTACACTATATTATTGTATGAATATTTAATATATCTTTAAATACATTAAAATATGCATAAGTTTTTTTTTTTTTTTTTTTTTTTTTCCTTCTTTACATGCTAAATCTTGAGAGGAGAAAGTTTAATTTTCATTCCCAGAGCTCTTTTTATTTGTAAGATCAAATTCATGGTTGGATAGCTTCAACATACTAAATCGTGTAACATCTCTTTGGAGTTCTAAAGTTTGATTTCTTTTTCTAAAAATTTACTTGATGTTCTTTTAGTTTTCACCATATATTTTTCTTGAAAATATTTATTTTTTGATGAAATATTAATTGAGAATGTTATATTAAGTTTTATATATTAAATATTTTAAATCCATAAAGATAACAAAATAAATATTTTTTATTTTTTTACGTGTCATAGATTTAAATTTAAAATGCAATTCATTTTTAAAAGTAGTATATGATTTGAGGAGTTATAGTTTAAATGAGCAAGATAAATATTTTTATTTAAAATATTATTTATATCTTTATCAAAATATAAATATATCTTAAAGAAGTAAATTTTATATTCCATTTGCAAGTAGTGAGGTGATTAAAATCAAATTGTAAGATCACCTCAAAAATTTTTGTCATTTTATTACAAGATAATTTGAGCTCATATTATTTACATCAAACTAAAATTTTCTTTTTCTTGATCTAAGCCATTTAGCTTAGTGAAATTTAAATTATAATTAGATTGGGTTGTATTCGTCCGTGTAAGATAGCACTTAGGTTGTAAACAACTTTTTTTGGTTTAAATAAGTGAGGTTTGCAAGGTAATTATTAGATTAGTGGATTCTAGCCCAAAAGTTGGCTAGCATGAACGTAGGCTGGATTGAAATTCGGGCCGAACCATGTAAAAATATTGTGCAAGTTATTTTCTTTTATTGCATCTATTTTTCTTTATCAATTTCATAAAAAATAATGATTATTTATTCTTTACCAAATATTATTGAAATTATTTTAATTATATTTTTTTAATAAAAATTTTAAAACCCAATTCAGCCCCTCTTGGGGTGCCATAGTCATTCAATAATTGGTATCAAAGCCATGAAAAAATGTATTTCAAGAAAAAGAAGAAGGCTCTCTTGGCTAACCCAGATTTTGATGAATCAAGTTCATTAGATAAATAGGAGAACATTTGTCTTATGGCAGGAAGAGAAATTGATTGTGATTCTCAAGAGGTATGTTATAATATATCTTATGAAAAATTAGATGTTGCATTTAATGAATTAGTTGTTAAATATAAAATTTAAAAAGAAAATATAATATTTTAGAAAAAACCAAAAAAATTTAGATATGTATTTTAATGATCTAAAAAATGAATGTGATGATTTGAAAAAATAAAAATAGTTGTTTATTAGATCATTCTTTACTTCTTTTTAAACTTGAAAGAAAAAATATTCTATTAAAAGTAAGATTATATTTATGCAATAAATCAATAGTTTATTATAAAGTTCCATCAAATACAACTTCAAATAAAAATTCTTCTTATATATCACATAGACATCATGCTAAGCCATATATAAATACTAATATTTGGTGTAATTATTATGGTATAAAAAGATATATCTCATTTGATTGCTATGCTCATAGATCACATAATGCTAAATAATCATCTTTTGTATGGTGCCAAAAAATACAAGCACTTCATATACCATACATAATAGATATCATACTACTCAATTAGAATGTAAG